GTGCGGTTGGCGCTGAGGAACCTCGCCGGCGTCATCAGCGGCAAGGCCATCGGCGCGGCCATGGAGAGCGTCGGCGCGCATCGGCGCAGCGGCGCGGCTCGCAGGACGACTCGTTGGAGCATGCTCGTCGGATTGCGCACCAATAATACAAGCTGGCAATGCAGTATCAACTCCCAGAGGTTGAAGCCGCCGGAAGTCGCGAGGTGCTTGGGCGGAAATATAAAATGACAGAGGTGCATCGCGGCCTTGTGACGAGACTGTTTCGAAATTGGTACGCGTGAATGTACACAATGTCGATGTCATGCAGGCCAATGCATCGCAGTACCAAGTGAAGGGGCTACCGGTTCTCTTCGTGGCTATAAGAGGAGTGCGATGATTACATGGTTCCAAGGTGGAAGTCGCGACTGAAGCGTTGCGGATCTCAGGCGACCACGTTGCGTCTCTAAAGTCGTCCCAATCACTACCTACCGGTATGTCCAGCAGGTGCAATGCTGTCTTGTTTGACTAGATATATACGAGTCCATAGTACGGCGGTATCGATGTCATTTCCTGGTCACAGCGGGATCCGATGCGGACGACAAATTTCGGACAATTGTAGCGTCTATTCTAGAAATGACGGTGATTTCTCGTTCGAGCTTCAACCTGTGACAATCGATACTATCGCGTTTCAAGAGGTCTGCCACGTTGCCTTTCCGAAGCCGCTCATTCTGCAATCCATGAGCCCGTGGCAAGTCTGGGAAGAAATGGCTGGTAACCTGAAGTGGGTCGTCTTGAGCATCCTCGTCGTCTTGACGCTCTTTGGCATGGTGTCGTCGTGGGGCGGCGGCGGCGGCGGCGTCTCGGCCAAGGCCAGCCACATCCTCGTCAACACGGAGGCCGAGATCGACGACCTCTTCACGCAGCTCAGCGCGACGGCCGACGGCTCGCCCGAGCAGCTCAAGCTCTTTGCGGACCTCGCCAAGAAGCACAGCAAGTGCCCGAGCGGCGCGCGTGGCGGCGGCGCCCTTGGCTCGTTTGGCCGCGGTCAGATGGTCCCCGAGTTCGACCGCGTGGTGTTTGAGGACGACGTGGGCAAGATCCACAAGGTCAAGACGCAGTTTGGCTGGCACCTCGTCCTCACGACGGAGCGCACGGACCCCGCCGAGAAGAAGGACTTGTAAGCGCAACGTCATAAGATCGAAAGCAATATACTGAACAGCGATCTCTCGATGCGAGCGTCGTTTCGGCGCAAATCAACGCCGATGGTATCGCCGCACTATCGTGTCTGCGCATATATACAAGCTACACAGGTCCCGATGGACATAAGAAGCAATGTCACCGTCCGTGCGGTGTCATCGACCACTGCCAGAGCACATGAGGCCCCTCTTCTTGAGTAGTCCGTATGACGCAACACCACAAATGTTACGACAGTAGTCTACATGAAGCGACCGTCATATCAAGCGCGCGTCCGTGCTCACGTATGGTTCCCTGGGCGTTGACCGTTCTTGAGAGCAATGGCCCAGCGCAGCTCGGGTACGATTGTCGTCTTGCCGTTGGGGATGGCAGCCTCGTCGGCATTGGTGGTGTCCCGCCACCCGGCGAGTCGCCCGATGGCACCGGCCACGGTCCAGCTCGGCTTGACGTCGACTGGGTGGGGCGTCTCGAGGAAGCCGTAGCTCATGTGCCCTGCAAAGAAGATTGCATCGTATTTTCTCCCGTCGTTGTCATTGATGATCACGTCGACTGTGAGGTAGCCGGGTGGAATATCGCGCGCGTTGATGATCGGAAACTGGTTGAGAAGGACGCGGCCCGACGGCAGCCAAACGCGTCGCTCGTCGCCCTGCCACGTCCCGTCCTCCTTTATGACACAAAAGACGCTGAGCCAGCCGCTTATGTAGTTGGGGCCCGACCCGCCGTGCCAGTGGCAGATTTTTCTCCAGAAGCCGACGTTTGGTTGGCCGTTTGCTGCCTGCACAAACTGGTCCAGGATCGGCGCCAAGAGGCGAGACCACGCTTGGAGGCAGGTGTCGAACGTCGCGAGCTTCTCGACGCGCGCGCGGATATCTTCCCAGTCGCCCACAGTCCCGAGGAGCGTCACAAATGGAATGCCACAGCCAAAGTGAAACGAGTGCCGAAAGTACTTTTTCATGGTTGCCATCATGACGATGCTGCCAACCATCGTGTCGGTCTGCGTCGTTGTCGAGAAGCCGGGGAGGACCCAGTCTCGCAGCGTCGAGTCCACGAGATGCTCGCTCATCAAATGGACCATTCGGTCAACGAGCGGACCAAAATCGGCCGAGCGCATCGAGCCAGCACGACAGACGTTCAGCTCTTTCTTCCCCTCGTGCCGGACAAAGAGGTGCCGAAGGTCCTCGGCGTGACCGTTGACGTACAAACCAAACTGGGTCATGATCGCAAGCCAAATGTCGTCGGGACGAAGCACGAGGTTGTGGTGGTCGTTGTATGCTTGAACGACGCCCATGACAAAGCCGCTCTTGCTGTGCACGATGGGCGTCTCGACGGGCGGCGACGAGAGAATGTCGTAGCAGCCAGTAAACTCACGGAGCGACTGCACTGGATTGTCTGTCGTCGTGTACCGTGCGCAAGCGCTCAAAGGTTTCAGAGACACTGCAAACGTGACCATGGTGACAACGATGACAAAATGCGGCCTCGCAGCGTCAGTGCACTCCACAACCGACCAGCACTGACAAACACACAATTCTCACGTGTGTGATTCTCGTATTGTCGGTGCGCTGTATGTGTGAGGAATATTTTTCACCTATATCACGCGAGTGATGGTCATTCGAGGACACGTGGCACGTTGTCATGTGGCCTTGTGGGAATGCATGTCGTTTGCTCCAGTGACACGCGCCAGCTTATCCAGTGCAGCAACTAAGATATAAACAACCGCAGCGGATGATGTCTCGTTCAATCCGTTAGCGTCATTTTGATCCGTTGTCATGACGACGTTTGCAGTCTCTTCCAAGATGCTTGCTGCTTACACAGGTGCGACAACGCAGGACGACCCAGTACTGTCGCTGCTCGAGTACACGAAGCAAGACTGCGAGAGCATTCTCCAGTCGTCGCCTCTCGAGACCCCAATCGTGCACAGCGAGAGTGGATTCGTCTTTGGCGTCATTCAAGCGTACAACCTGCACCACAACCTTTCCATTCGCCCCGACGACGTCTGGCTCGCGATCATGATCCAGTTTGGCTTGTATGTGAACGGCAACGCCGAGGACCTCCGGCACCACTTTGTTCAGCACCAAGGGCAGAAAGAGCTAACGGTGAAAATGCCTGGCTCGATGCGCTCGATTGAGGTCGTTGATCTCGTCGCCCAAATGCTGCTGCAGATGGACACGCACCTTACGGATCCAGCGCTGAAAGAGTGGGTGCTCCCATGCTACTCGACAACAACGGACGACGACAAGATCGTCGGAAGCATCGTCTTGATGGCGGCCATGAAGAAGTACTTTACCTACAAGGCCTGTCTCTGCTGTGGCATTCTGTTCGTGACCCTCCTTGGGACCATTGAGGACTGGGAAGATATTCGCGCGCGCGTCGACAAGCTTGCAGCGTACAGCGACCGCATGACAAAGTGGTCAGTAATGCTTGCACCGATCCTCGACCAGTTTGTGCTGGCTGCAAAATGGCAACCGGACGCCGGGTTCTGGAGTCGGATTTGCCATGAGTTTGGCGGCCACTCGGGTCCACGATACATTGGCGGCTGGCTCAGCGTCTTTTGCGTGTTTGATCAAGTCGGACGGTGGCAAGGTAAGAACAGTGCCATTGACATGCTTGACGGGAAGCTTCGGTCGCGCCTCAAGGAGTTTCCTACCGTGTCCATTGACGACATTCCGCCGGAGTACCTCACAGTCGACATGACCATCGATGACAACGGGGAGATATACAACGCGCTCTTCTTTGGTGGGCACATGAGCTTTGGCTTTGAGGATCCTCGCGCCAGCTCCTCCCATGTGTCGCAGTCGTGGACGACGATGTTCAAGCAAATACTCTCTGGCGGCTGCTTGAGCTACCAGCGCAAGACGACCATTGTCCCGCGCCTTTCCTGGACGATCGCGCGCAATAAAAACACGTTGTGGATAGTGTAGCAATTAGCTTCCCCTTCCAATGAGACCCGACTTATTCTCGTAATCTGCTTGTGATTGGGCAGAGTCTACCAGGGTAAATGAAGTGCAGTATCTAGTCTCGTATCGCACGAGGCGAAGCGTGCTGAATATAGGCGGCATCACGACTGTAGTGTTATGCCCACTGTACATGCTGTAGCTATCTCGCCTCCTTCGTAGGATACGACGCTGGCACGGCGTCCGACACGTGAGCTATCCATGCGAGAATAGTGTCATGATGGGCCAATCAATACACCCGTTGATAGATAGTGCACCAATGAAAATGATTTTGGGCCGTCTACTGCGCGGTGATTGGTCGCTACATGATGGGCAAATCTTGAATGTGAAGGTAATGGCCTTCGACAAAAACACATCGTGGTTTCTAGCATCGCTCGCTCCACCATCACGCCCGGTACCGCGCCCCAAGCGCCCACCTTCACGCATCGTCTTGCGCCGGCCGGAGCGTTGGGGCGCTTCGCTTTACGTAAGTTCCGTCCATGTAGTATCAACTTATCAACACGCGCTACGTTACTCTCTGTTTTTGGACGTTTTGATCGACGATAGGACGATCCAGGCGACGTGTCGAGATGGTTCCAGAAAAAATGCTCTACAACCAAACAGCGCACGAGCTGCACATGACAACCATTTTTATGCAGAAGAATGTTTCGTGTTCGCAAACAGAAAGCAGCATCGCATCGAATCCAGGCCACGGCTAGTACAAGCTAGCACGGATAGCTCATGTAGTGCTAGTAGCTACTATTGTCTTCTACTCGTTCGAAACTACGGTGCGGTACAATCATCTCGCACACCGATTGGTCACCCCGATCCATTCCGACTTCATGCAGGATGCCACGTCATCGCAGCGCGAGCGTTACCAACAGCTCACAGTCGTCATGCCACTTTTGAATTGGCACCTCCCTCGAGCATGACGACGTTTGCCGTGTCGAGCAAGGAGGTGGCGATGTACACTGGCGAGACGACCTATGACGTGCCTGTGATGTCCCTCCGAGAGTTTTCGAAGATGGGCTGCAAGGATGTCCCGCAGGCGTCGCCCGTGTCGTCCCCAATCGTGCACAGCAAGCGCGGGTTCATCGATGCCGTCGTCCAAGCGTATAACCGACACCACAATCTCGTGCTGCGCCCTGATGACGTCTGGCTTGCGATCATGATCCAGTTCAGCTTTCACATCAACGGAAACGCGCGATGGTTTCGCTCGTCGCTCGTCAAGCACCGCGGCAAGAAGAACCTCACGATTCAAGGCGGCGGCGACGTGAGGTCGGCCAGCGTAGGCGGCCTCGCCAAGTTCATGGCCAATGAAATGACCGCGCACCTCGTGGACCCAGCACTCAAAGACTGGGTGCTCCCCGGCTTCTCAACGACTACGGACAACGACGTAGTCGTCGGCAGCGTTGTCTTCATGGCGGCGATGAAGAAGTACTTTAGCTACAAATTTGAGCTTGGCTGTGGCATTCCGTTTGTGACGCTCCTCGGGACTGTCGATGATTGGCAAGACGTTCGCGCCCGCAGCACCAAGCTCGCGACATTCGGCGGGTATGCGTCGACTTGGTCCCGCATGCTGGCGCCGGTTCTCGACCAGTTTGTCTTGGCCGCGAAAGGTCAGCCGGATGTGGCGTTCTGGGACCGGATTTGCCACCACATTGGCGGTGGGTCGGGCCCGAGCTACCTTAGCGGCTGGCTCAGCGTTTTCTGCGTCTTCAACGAGGAAGGGCAATGGCAAGGCGGTACAAGGTCGGTGACGCTCTACACCGGCGAGGTCGTCACGGCGGACTTTCCGATCGTCGAGTCGCAAGACGTGCCGCCGGGCTACGTCACGGTCGACGTCGCCATTGACGACAATGGCGTGCGGCTCGAAGGGCTCCTCTTTGCGGGCCACATGAGCTTCAGCGTCCAAGAAGAAGCCACGGTCATTGCTCCCGAGCTGGGCTGGGCGATTGCGCTCAAGAACGGAGAGCACGACAGTAGCGATGACGACGACGCAGTCGATGACCAATGGACAAGCGCCGTGACGTGGCTGTGGGCTAGCGCCTCACTTATAATCGTCGTGATCGCGTGGAGCTTCACGCAGTGTTTCTCTGATCCGAATGGCGATCGTTTCTACGTCAAGAATCTTCATTACAGCCTCGCATCATGTTAAATCCTGGTTGTGATGAAGTGTTTGAAGCTGCACTTGCTGTGTCGATGCTGCCGACAGATCACAACTTTGCGAAGTACCCGGGATAGCATGTCTTGCTTGAAGGCCATCGCCACCGACTCGAGCCGCAGTACAAGACAAAACAGAGTGGTACACAGAAAGAGCAGCGCGGGCTCCGCCTCTCTGGGCATGTGGTCGTCGACGCTGCACGCGCGCTCGACGTACTCGACGAAGCGCGCGCAGAGCTGCAGCTCAAGCGGCGGTTTCTCTTGCCACGGCGCCTTGGCAACGGCGGCGTCCTGCTGCAAGCAGTAGGCGACAAGCGGTAGAAACGTGTAGCGCTCCAAGCACGACGCGACAAATTCGACGGCGCTGAGCTCGGGGACCTTGACGCCGTCGACGACGATGGGCTGCCATGAGAGGCCCTTGGTCACGTATGACGCCAAACTGCGCTCGCACAGCGACGCCATCACATGCACCGACGCAACGGCCGCGCACGCCGCCTTGACGCTCTCGAGCTCGTGGAGGGTTGCCAGCGACAGCAACATTGACGCCACGATCGCACCGACCGACGCCATTGGAGCCAAAACCTCGACATGCCCTTCCAGAAGTGGTACGGCGCTGGCTTCGCTTGGTCGCAGCTCGTCGCAGACCGTATGCAGCGCGTCGCCGAGCCCCATCCACGTGTGGGCGACAGCGAGTCGCTGCTGGAACGCACCGTCGACGACCGGGACGTTGGCCATGCGAAAGACGTCGGCGTACAAACTCTGGAGGTGCTCGGGCTTGAAGACGGCTTCAAAGTTGGATCGGTGGACGTGCAGAAGCGAGAGGACGTCGTACGTGACGACGGCCGCGGCGCTGGCTAGCGACGCAACGACGGCAGCGTAAACGTTGTGGTGGCCGACAGCATCCCGCGCGAGCTTCCAGTCGGGACCCGTCGGGTGCAGCAGCAGCGCTAGCAAGTGGAGGAGGGTTGACGCCTTCTTGAGCTCGTCGCCTTGACGCTCGGCAAGGTCGAGGCCGCAGAGACTCAAGAGCAAGCGCAGCGCTGCCACGTACCGCGCATGCGCATCTGCCACCGCGTCCACGGGCGCACACAGCAGCGTTGGGTGCAGCAGCAGCGCCCGGCATCCGTTGGCGACGGCGTCGACTTCGGCGCTTTTGATGGGCCGCGCGAGTCGCCGCGGGTGGCTCAAAAACGATGCAAACGACCGCGGCAGCGTGTGGTCGCGGTGGTGGACGGCCACGTGGATGAGCAGCAGGTGGTACTTGACGAAAAACGACGATTGGACGTGCGCCGGCTGCGCGTCGAGGTACGTGGACGGCCATGGCGATCGGCTCAGCATGTCGCGTAGTACGAGCAGCACGTGTAGTCGCAGCGGCGACTGAAACTTGATCGCGTACGCGGTCACCATGCTGGCCGTCGACACGGTCAAGCAGTCCTTCATCGTGTTGAGCGTCTCTTCGTGCAGCGCCCACTGGTCCCACGGCACGCGGCCGAGGAGGGGGACGTACGCCTTGACGAGGCTGTCGGGCGCGTGCGGCCAGAGCACATTGCACATGAGCGACCAGATGCAGTCGAGTTTGATCTGCATCGCCATCGTGTCGCGCTCAAGGAAGGACTGGAGACACGACCACAGCGATGACGCAACCGTCGCTGGTGTTGCGTCGTCGGTGGATGGCCACGGTGCGAGGGCCCGGACGGGCTCCGGCGCCGACGGCATGTACAGCACCTACACACAGGATCACAACGATACTGGCAAGACGAGAGTGGTACCTGCAGCATCGCTTCAAAGACCTTGGACGTAATTGACCACATCATCTCGGCCGTCGCTTGAGCGCGCACCCAGACAACGACGAGGTCCAGACACGGCTTGAGCACATGCGCAGCTTGCCACTGCGAGAGCTCGTACACATCGGCGCTCGCACTGTGGCTGTCGTCGCCGTGTTTTTTCCAGTCCTGCTGCGCGAGCAAGCGGTCGTGCCCGGCGCTGCGACGCGCCAGCACATGCGACGTGACGCGTTCGACGAGCAGCTGCAGCGTCTCGAGCGGCAAGTCGGCCCAGAGCTCGTTTGGGACGTGCGCGACGGCCTGCCAGAGACCGACATCGAGCGGCTTGCTGGTCGAAACGGACGACGAGCACTCAAAGTACGTGCGCATGGCCTGCAGGTCCGGCGCGTAGTACTGGTCGTAGACACCGAGGAGAGCGCAGAGCACCTTGTCCACGTGCTCTTCGAGGAATAAGCTGCAGAGCGTGTGGAGCGTCTTGGCGTGCATGCGGTGGACCTCGGCGCTCGGTTGTCCGAGCACGAGCTCCGCGAGCACGATCGAGAGGAGCGTGTCTCGGTCAAAGATCGTCGGCGACGCCTGCAGCCACTTGGCAATGTCAAAGCGCCGGAGCAGCTGGAGCCGGTCGTCGGTCGACAAGTCGGGCGTGTGGTACATGACGGTCGCAAAGTATTCGACGAAGCGCGTCGGCGTGTTGTTGGGGAAGAAGCAGTCGCTGAGAAGGACGACGCGCGCCGGGTCCTGTAGCATGAACCGCAAGAGGCCACTCGTCTCTTCTTGGTCGACGCCAATGAACGCGACGCCGAGCGCCTGGATAGATCGCCAGAGCACCTCTTGGAAGGGCGGGCACCGGCGCACGACCTTTGAGTCGAGATGCAGGAGGGCATGGAACCAAGCGACACCCTGCGCCTGCCACGCCGCCGGGTCCGACGTCAAAAGCGCCACGACCGAGTCGATCAAAAGGATCTGAAAACAAATCTGAACGTCGAGCGCGCCGAGTTGGAGGTAGTTGCCGCGGTCGCCGACGACAGCAATCGGTGCCGAGAGCAGGCGCAGCGACGGAACATTGAGCCGTGTCGCCTGCAGCTGGCATGTGGCCAAGACGTCAGCGGATGCGTCGTCGAGGTGCCACTCCGTGTACTCGAGTCGAAGCACGCTGGGCCGCTTGCACGGCGCGGGGTCCTTGCCCTTCCGGCCGGCGCATGGCACCGACGTGGTCACGACCACCAGCTTGGGGACGTAGAGCTTGGCGAGCTTCTCCACAAAGTCCGTTTCAAGCGCCGTCAGCTGCGAGAGCACGTCCGTGTACTGCATCGCTCGGTCGACAAACGGACCCGGGGCGAGTTCCAGCGGAAGCGGTCCGGGTGTCGTCGGGAGACTTGGCGAGAACCGAAGGTATTTGAATCGCTTCATCGGTATCGGCTCGGGCCAGACAACGGGCCTGAGCGACGGCAAGACGGACACCGGGGACGCAACGGCCGACGACGCATTTGACGACGGAGACGACGCGACGGTCACGGCTGGGAGGCAGAGGCGCACCCACAGCAGCGGCGCGACGCGGTCGCAGAGCGCCTCGGACCGCGTTTCCATGGTATCGGACGTGTGCAGCAGCACGTGGCTGAGTTGGAGCAGCTGTGTCGCGTGGCCGATGCAGTAGTGCGGCGGCAAGCTCTCCTTGTGCCCCATCCAGAGACCGACGTCCGTGTTTTCGAGCCACGCGTCCATGGCCGAGTAGAGGCGCGCGAGCTCACTGGCGTACGGCGACGGGTGGCTCACAACCTGCGCTGAAAAGTGCGCCGAGAGCTGGCGCAGCTTGGCCTGGAGCGACCGCCGGGGCAGCTGCTTGGCCTCGAGGTCCCACACGTGATGCCCAAAGAACGTCGACCCGATCGAGGCAAAGTACAAAGCAAACCACAGCTGCCACCACAGCACGAGCATCGGCGTATTGTTGGGACACGCGAGCACGATCTGCGCGACGCGGAAGAGCCGCAGCGTCGAAAACGAAGCAAATTCGAGGTCTCGCTGGCCGTATGCGCCAGGGTGCGCCGTCTCGACGCCGTAGACGTACAGCTCTGTGGCCAGTCGGCCTTTGGCTCGGAGGCTTTCAATCGTCTTGGCCTTTTGCTTGCCGGGCTCTTTCAAAATGACGTGTCCGAGCGCCTTGTAGAGCTCTTTTCTTTCCGCACTTCGAGAAGGAGGGCGAGGTATGAAAAGTGGAGGTCTGTCGCCGTCGTCCCGGAGAAGACCGACCAGACAGAGGCAGTCGGCGGCGGCACAAAGCTCCGGGCACCCGGCAGCAGGCAGAGGGCGTCGTAGTAGAGCGAAAAGGGCGCCTCGAGCGCCGAGAGCATCGTCGGCGTCGCAAGCGCGACGATCGCGTCGACGACGGCTCGGTAGGCGGGACGCGTGTACCACTCGGGAATCGTGAGCACCAAGACGAGCCAGTACTGCAGAATCGTTGGCGACTGGAGCACATGGTAGTGGCGACGGATCACCGCGCAGACTCCGTCGACGTCGGGCGACGGCTCGGCGGTCGGTTTTGCCTGCCACAAGAGCGTCTTCTTGAGGGTCTGGAGCGTCGCCACGGCGTAGTGCTTGGCCGTCGCCGCGTACGACACGGGCACTTGGTCGCAGAGCGCGGGCAGCAGCAGCGGGTGCACGCAGCAGCTCTGTTCAAGCGCCGTCTGCACGACGGCAATCATCTCATCGCGGTCGACGCTGCCAGTGTCGGCAAGGTATTGCACGACGAGCGGCAGGCGCGGGTCCAGCGCAAAATACAAGTTGGTGTGCAGCATGGCCACGATGCTGCGGAGGTCCTTGTTGAACGCCACGTAGTTTTTCAGAAACGACTGCACGTCGTCCGGTGAGAGCCGCGGCAGGTGCGGCAACACACACTCGACAATCGCCAAGACTGCGCCGCGCTCACCGTGGTCGACGAGCAGCGACAGCAGTGGCGCGTACTTGTCAACCGCCGAGCTGTACAGATACGTCGTCAGCTGGCACAAGGCGTAGAGGACGATGGGTTCCATGCGAGCGATCGGGACGGCGTCTGCGTCGATGCTCGTGCTGTCGTCGGCGTCCCGCAACGGCGCTTCCGGCACGGTCGTTCCGTCGACGTACGTGATGCACATAGCGGCAGCGACCGACGCGGCTTCGGTTTGGCCGAGCACGAGGTGGCTGCGTGGCAGGCCGTGCGTGAGTCGTCGCAGCAAAAGCGCCTCTTTGGACAGATCCGTGTCGAGCTCAATCAGCGGCAGCAGGGGAGGTAGTCGGCCGTTGAGTAGAAGCGCAGCTGCTGCATCAACTGCCACGCCCACGCCCGAAAGTCCATCGACCACGGCCATTGGCGCGCCGACGCGTAGAGCTGCACCGTGGCTTCGGCCAGGAGCAAACTCACAAACCGGTGCACGAACGGGTCCAGGAACAGGACATGGACCGTGTTGGGTGCGTCGCCCCAGTTGAGGCCCTCAAGAATCGACCGGGCGACGACGCTGCGGGCGTCCATGACGTTCTCCTGGAGCAGCCACGCTTGCAAAATGTGCAAATCCGACAGCGTCGGTTGCCACAGCCGCAGCGGCAGCTTGGGAAAGAGCGCGAGACCACACTCGTACTGCGGCAAGAGCGCGAGGAGCTGCGAGTGCGCCATCGGGTGTGCGACGCAGACGACCCGAAGTGCGTCGACGTGCACGTCCAAGACGCGCGTTGCCTCAAACGACAGAAAGAGCTCGTGGACGATGGTCTGGACGAGCTCGCTCCACGGCGCGACAGCTGCGAGCGACGCCATGGCCCCGAGAAGGTACTTGCCAGGACCCTTAAGCACGTGCTTGTGCAAGCGAGCGCGAAGGTTTGGACTGTCGGCGAGCCAGCACTGGAAAGCCACGTACGAGTTGGCGCCGACCGAGGCCTGGCCAAATAGACCGCCGAGAACGTCCCACGACGCCGCCGGAGACAACGCGGCGTAGTGCCAGCTCGGGAGGCTGCGGTACACGGCCACGTTGCGCGACTGGACGACGCCAAAGAGTGCAATCTGAAAAAGCTGGTCAAAGAGGGAGCCCGGGTGAGCACCAGCTGCCGCGAGGATGACGCCAAGACCGTCCGCGACGTGCGCAACGAGCAAGTCGTAGTCGGCAAAGCGCTCAAAGACGCTCGTGCACTCGTGGACGAGGTACAAGAGATGCGCAAAGCACTGCGCTAGGTCGTCCGACGCCAAGATGTGGGCCACCGCGCGCCCGAGCGGCAGCTGGCTGCAGAGCGCCGTGTAGTCGGCGTCGCTAAGGAGTTGCGGGCGGTCGTCGACGACTTCGGGCTCAATCAGCAACCACTCGTCGACACTCGACGACCGGCGCTGCTTCCGAGGCGACATCTCCGTCTCGTCGTGGGCGGTCACGACTTGCGGCGGCAGTTGCGTCGGGTGGAACAGCAGATGCCACAAGAACAAGAACAAGTCGAGGATCTCGCGCGACCACGGCAGCGGTGGCAGCTGCAGAAAAGCCAGCGCCCAGCGCCGGTCGGACGCCAGCAGCGGCACGTGCAGCAAATGTGTGAGGAGGTACGGCAGCACTGGCGCGGGGTCCGTTGCGAGGAGGGCCGTCGCGCAGCGCCCGAGCCAGTGCTGGAGCGAGACGCGAACTTGAGCAACCGCGAGCTTCCACTCGGGCGACGAGAGCGCGACGGTCGACCGGGGTACCACGAGCAGAGCTTCGCAGCGAGAGCACGGACCCGTGGCAAACGCACAGAGGCAGCCGCACGCCGGGCACTGCAACTGCTTCGTCTCGTCGTCTTCTACGATCGGCTGGCCGCGCCGAAGCGCCGATGGCACGACGCCGAGCAGCGGCGACTGAGCCCGCGTCACCTCCTTCTCCAAAAACCAGAGCACGTCCATAGCGTCCGTTATGTCGTCGATGGCGTTCATGGCGTCGAGAAGAAGGCCGTCCAGATGCTGCTCAACACGGAGAAAGGCGAGCGCGCGGTCGTACGTGTAGACGGCGGCTTCTGCCGACCGCAGCTGCCGAAGTGCCTGCCACTGCTTCAGAAGCGCATCGCGCATGTCCAGGTCGAGACTCGCAGTGGGAAATTCAATCGTCTCGGTGAGCGTCTGGAGGTCGCCACAGAGCGCCGACGCCGACACCGAGTCAAATCCGGTCGTCCACACTACAACCGATTGTGAGTCGAGAGCAGAATACATATAAAGCAGTACCAGCGCGCGCCTTGTCGGCAATCTCGGCTTCGATCGCTGCCACCGTGGACGACGCGACCCGCAGCGCATACTCGCAGTAGAGATAGGCCTCGACGAGCCGGTAGAATGGCGTTGGCGCTTTCTCGAGCACTTGGAGCCGTTCGTCGTACGCCTGCACGTGTTCATCTCGGAGACGAAGGTTGGCTTCGTAGTTGTCGATGCGGCGCAGGGGCACACGAGGAACCTCGCGGAGCGGCAGCATGGGCGGTGACGGCAACTCCCGGACCTTGGCGACGCGGGGCGTGAACGTGATGGGCTTGAGCATGCTCAGCGCGGGGTAGATTGGCGCCGAGATCTTGGTAGCGGGAGCGACGAGCAGGTCGTGGACGGTCGCGATCGACGCGTTGGCGACGAGAGGTGCATATTTAGTGGCGACATCAACTGGCGCAGCTGTCGTTGGGGCGAGCTCCAGCGGTGGCGCTGTCACTTCGGCGTCTTGCTCGTCCGTGGGTGCAGACGGCGCCAGGTACGCGAGGCCATTCATGAGCGG